TAGATTGAGTTGTAAACAGTAAAGAGTGGCTTCTACCTGAACATGTTTCAGGATCTCTTCTAATTGTGCGCCCGTGACCCCAATCAGAAGAGTATCATCCGCATACTCTAAATCGTAGATGGGCTTGCCTACCGACCGGCATTTTGTGGAACACCGTGTGTTCGAAGCCTGGCGTCTACATCCGAAAGGAGTACTGTCATAACCATGATAAATAAATAAAGGCTGAGTGGACATCCCTGGCGGATACCTGTGTGCGGAGTACCCCAGTATTTAGTACCGTCGGGAGCGGAGGTACAAAAGGTGGGGCAGGTGTACATATCCTTAATGATTTCAAGATATACAGGGTGAACCCCCAGGCGGAGTAGTGCGATATGCATGGATTCATGGTCAATCTTGTCAAAGGCTTGTTTCCAGTCTAAGAGCAACAACTGAAAAGGTTGGCCTGTTTTGGCGGAGTAGTCTTGCAGGCGGTGCAGAATAAAAAGTGGTTGCGTCGTACCCTTGTTTCGGCGGAAACCGAATTGTGTGTGGGGGAGTGAGTGATCATGCGCCTCTGCAAGTCTGTTCTGAAGCATCGCGGCGTATATTTTATAAAAGACGTTAAGGAGACTGATGGGGCGGTATGAGGCAGGATCTGAGGTGGGACCTTTGCCTTTATAAATTTATAGATACTGACGACAAGAGCCTCTTTCCATGATGTTGGTATTCTACCTTGGCGCAAGCATGCGTTATATAGGCGGAGTAGCTGTTTTTCCCCAAAGTGATCTAGCAGTTTGATGGCGTCTGCTCTGAGGGTATCTAGACCTGGGGCTCTGTTTTTGCGCAGCTGCTGGATAGCTTCCGTTAACTCTTCATGTGTGAAAGAGCTTGGCGGAGTAGTAGGAGGGGGGTTTAGCTGCGGCGATTCTTTGAGAAGTGTTCTTTCTTCTGTCGTGACCGCGGTTTTTCCCCATTGGTGTTGGTCGAGGTGGTCCCGGAATGTTTGGTGAGTTTGGTGCCAAGGTACTGGTTTGCCGTTGTGTTTTAGTCTGGTGTGTCTTGGCTGGAATCCGTTTTTAAGGCGACGGGCCTTAGTCCAGATGGTTGTGTGCTTAAGGTTTGTGTCCTCCAGGAAAGAGTCTCTGAGCCATTCCCTTTTAAGTTTACGTGCTTTGCGCTTCAGGGTTTTATAAAAGGCGATGTGTTCGGGGTCTAGGTTGGCGCGCAGTTGTTTGGCCTTAGCGATGTTGGCTGCTAATTGAGGAGTGATCCAGGGCTGTTAGGGAAGATGCTCGAGGAGTGGTAGGGTGGAGCGTTCAGCGGTTTGGAGGGACCTGATTAGGTGGGCTGAGAGTTCATCGGTTGTTTGTGCGAGGGCTGGCGGAGTGGTGAGGGTGATGCTGGGGTGTACGAAATGCGAGAGTGATGATCTGCCTCCTGTTGGACGTGACGCGGCCCTGCCCTTTTCTGTGAGCGCGTCCGCGCGTTCATTGTGCTCGTTGCCGCTGTGGCCCTTGACCCAGTGCCAGTGTACCGAATGTTTGGTTTCTAATGTTGCGCAGATGTCCTTTGCTATTTTAACCATGGTTTTGTGACGCTTGGGTCTGGTGTGTCCGCGCAGCATATCGGCTGCCCATTTACTGTCATAGTCATAGTGGAACATTATGGTTTGTGCGGAGTAGTCAGAGAGAGGATGTGCAAAGCAGCTTCCATAAGCGCACTTAGTTCCCCAGCATTATTGCTACCGACAACTGCGCCTAAGTAGTAAACTGGTCTTGTGTCCGTAGTGTCCGGACCGTATGAGGTAGCTATTTCTTCGTCCTCCTCTATGATAGCGTATCCCCAACCTGCCGGAGTAGTGGCCAAACACCTGCCAGAGGAACCCGAGCCATCTGTGTAAATCTCCCAATGGGAGGAAGCAGCAGCGGAGTAGTCTGGGGAGGGGTGGCCCATTGTAGAGCTTCTCGTACGTAGCAGCCCAGACCCATGTGGGCAACCGTTCCACCATCGGCAGCAGGTCGACCACCAAGCATCGGCAGTGGGTCTGGTTCCAGCCTGGTCCGTAGTGGCCACGGGAACTCGGATCCTGCGTTCTTCAGCTGATCGTAGTCTGGAGCCAACGGGATCACCGTCTCTGCTCTGATGGTGGGCGGATTCCTGACCATCCTTGGTAGGTAGCCAACTGTTGGTGGCGACCCCAGTGTGCATCCGAGTGACGCGTACCACTGCCCAAGCACCTTCCGGCACGTGTCAACCGCTGCCGCCCAACTCGCTGTCGTGTCGTCGTCCCACCAGGGTGGTGCTGGCAACGTGCTGCACGTCGCCCAGTACGCAGGAAGCCCCGTGAGTGACATGGACCGATCCCAGTCCACCATCAGTGCTGTGACGAGCAAATCGAACTTCTGTAGCCCGATGCTGGTTCCGATGAAGAGCGGAGTGGCCAGCATCGACAGTGGGGCGTAGAAGACGTCGACCCACAGCACCTGTGGCAAGGGGATCGGCCACCTCCATGAGTACTCCCTGTTCTGCAACTCCCAGGCCTTCTCGTCTTGTGCCTTGTCCCACGACTTGGCGATCTCCTCGATGAGAGCTCTGTCGTTGTCCTCTTCATCCTGGTCTGGCCAGTCGTAGAAGATGTTGAGGAGGTCGTCATGTGAGAAGCCGTCATGGAAGGGTCCTTGCCGTGGGTACCCAACCCACGACTCTACAGAAGGAGTGGCCGCCCAGTTCTCCTCAGCATGGTCTGCGGTCAGGTTGACCACCCAGAAGGATGGCTCTCCAACTACCTGGGGTGGCACGTACCACCAACCTTGGCAGATCTTGAACTTCTGGTGCCAGTTGCGCGCTAGCGCACCTCTGTCCTGGTCATCCTCTTTAAGGGCTTAGGGCTTAGGGTTTAGGGGCTTGCGGTTTAGGGTTTAGGGGTTTTGGGTGTTGGGGCTTTAGGGTTTTAGGGTATACAGGCTTATGGGTTTGTGGGTCTTGGGTTTAAGGTCTTGGGTTTACAGGGTTTCGGGCTTTTGGGTACAGGGCTTCAGGGTTTTAGTGTTTAGGATCTTGCCAAAGGGCAATTCAGCTAGGTGACTGGACACAGAGGGGCGGTAAAGGACTTGATCTAGAAGCCTGACTAAGTAGAAGTACTATTCCTTCTTGATTATAGTTGTAGTCAGTATAAAACCCTATTCCATCCTATTCCACTTATGCAGGACCCCATTGACCCTATGTTACAGCGCGATATCAGTGTTCTGTTGAACACACAAGTATTCCGACCCCTCATTTGGGAGTTCCTCACAATTGGGGGTACCTTTTCTGGGGGTCCTTACAAAAGGATCCTACTACTTAGGATTTAGGATACCATATTAGGGTCCCCCATTTTCGGAAACTCCCATTTAAGGCGCGCCTCCCCGGGGACTGAGATTGCCTGACGTTTGTAGGCATGAAACTGCGCGATCAGCGCAAACGAGAGGAGGTAGGCAAGCATGACCTGACCTTGCGATATCATTGTGTAAGGCTTTACAAGGGCAATATGAAGTGTCAGAGCAGTCTGTATAAGGGCTTCAAAAGGGCAGCAATCGGCTAGAAGGGCCTTAAAGAAGGGTCTCTTCAGACTAGGTGCGCACTACTTTGTGGAACACTAATCAGGGTGCTTCATTCGTCCATCTCCTCTGAACCTCTGTAGAAACCACCCGGAAGCCTAAACCTTTCACGACCCTGAAGCCCTGAAACCCTCAACCCTCAATCCTGAACGGAAAACCAGCATTCTCATCCAGGGGACGTCCAAGGGTTCCGGGAAAACCACCGGAGCTTGGAGGCTAAGCCAAAGCGCGAATCCACTTTCTTGATCTTGAGCCGAACGCAAAAGTCTCGAGTTCCACAAACTGTCTCACGCTCAGGGGAATACCAGCAGCAGTACCACTAGTAGTACTTGAACCAGTACCAGTACCAGTACTAGTGCGAGTACAAGTACTTCTGGTACTAGTACTAGTCGTAGTAGTCGTAGTCGTAGTCGTAGTCGTAGTCGTAGTCGTAGTCGTAGTCGTAGTCGTAGTAGTAGTAGTAGTAGTAGTAGTAGTAGTAGTAGTAGTAGTAGTAGTAGTAGTAGTAGTAGTAGGAGTAGTAGGAGTAGTAGTAGTAGTAGTAGCAGCAGTAGCAGTAGCAGCAGTAGCAGCAGTAGCAGTAGTAGCAGTAGTAGCAGTAGTAGTAGTAGTAGTAGTAGTAGTTGTTGTTGTAGTTGTAGTTGTAGTTGTAGTTGTAGTTGTAGTAGTTGTAGTAGTAGTCGTCGTCGTAATTAATGGAAGAAGTAGCAGCAGCAGCAGAACAAGCAGCCGCAGGAAGATGAAGAGGAGGAGGACGAGGGGGAGGCGGAGGAACAGGAGGCATAGCATTCCCATTAGGTGTGGGTGTCGCAATATGACCGTCATGGCTATTCTTACAAGCCCTTGGAGGAGCGCTGTAGTTTGCATGTTCTTCATATTTGTTCTTCATATGTCTTGATTTCCGCATCAAAGTAAGTCTAAGGATGTGTTCTATGATGCCCCAAGCCCTTAGCCGGATGAGGCCCTAAACCCTGTACAGCCCACAACCACAACGCTGATCCTACAACCCTACGCCCCTCAACCATCAACGCAACAAAGACACACCGCCAGTCGATCGCATCTCGTGGTCTTAATGCAAATGCAACATGGTCCTCACCCCATAAACCCCGAAGCTTAACACCGGTCATGTTGTGGCAAGATTTCATGACCAACATGGATGCCACAATGCAAGCAAGAGCAAAGAGAACGCTCAGCCCCCTGGAAATGCCAAGAAGAAGAGATCCGACGAAGTTGACGGTGGTGAAGACGATTATGCTGATGAGTGACAAATAACCTTCCGCAGTTACACCCTAAACCCCAAAGCCTACTAAACCCTAAACCATCAAATCTGAACCCTAAACCCTAAAACCTAAAACCTAAACCCTAAACCCTGGCTCGCCGGGCTCACTGTTTCTCTGCTGGAGCAAACCAGCTCTGAGGCGATAGTTACACAGGAGGGCAATTTCCTCGGCTGAGTGGCACGGGCATGTGCAAAAACAAAGCAGAGCAGCGCAACGTCCGAATCATGATCCCTTGGCAGGAAAACCTTCATACATCTATGATTGAATCACAAACTTAGTAGTCCTTGCTACAAATCTCCGAATCATGGCGGTACTGACACCAATAGTCGATGTAATTACACCTCAGTTGGCGATCATCGCATTATGAAAGAAAGACCGCATCACATATCATGTCCGTCATAGTCATCGCCATGACCGTCATCATCATCGTCATCATCACCGTCAACATCAACTTCAGCACATCAACATGAGCTTGACAAAAAAGCTGCATCATCAACGTCATCAGAAGCACCATCATTTTCGTCCCCATCTCATGCTGATCGTCCTTGTCAATATCACACTTGCTCTGAAATAATAGGGGGTTGTCCTGGGTAGCCGAAAGATGAAACGACAGCAGTAGCAAGGGCGGTCACAATAACTGTGGCAGAGCAAGAAGGAGAACAAGAAACAGTGTATGTACGACAAGCATAGGAGCCGCTCAGACATCAATTGAACAGGGATCTGGGGTCAACTATTGTGCGTAACAGTAAGGACCAGAAGGGCGCAGCCCTACATTTATTGAGTGGCTCTCGCGCCTGCGTGAGTTTCGCAAACAAACACCTTCGCTTGCCAACTTGTGGACGCTGGTGGATGCTTCAGCAACTACTGTTGATGATACAAATCCTGCATTACCTTAAGGACCCTAAACTATGTGAATTATGGTATATTCCTCATTATGGGTAATGCAGGATTTCTATCATCCACCGTACTTCGGGTCAACCCCAGGCCCCAACCGCTGCACATTCCGGGACAAGACGAGTCGTCATCATTGGTTGCGGTCATCATTTCGAGACAGTGCTGGCAATCTGACAGCTGAAAGTATGACCGAAGGAAAAGTGTGAGAGACACCCAGAGCAAAAGCAGCCGCTGTGCGACTCTCGTTGCGTCAACAAGCTTCCGAGTGCGTGGTATCCCAGAGTATCCGAGTTCAACCTGCAGCCACGCATGGCACAGTTGGCAATATCGCAGAGACCACCATGACCACCGTTCATCAAACCTGGGTTCAACAGCTCAGGGCTGTGCACTTATGGCTTTGGTTGGGGGGGCTGGTCGCATGAGCATGATTGGCTTCGGCCGCACAAGATTCCCGAGGGTTGTCTTCTTCGACCGAACAACATTTCTACTTGTTCCACTGCTAGCCTTCTTCTTCTTCTCGCAGTCTAACTCTCACGTTCTGGTTGTTGGCAATGTTCTCGGTCGTGTAATGATTTGGCTCCTCCTGTATGAGCAGTCACAAGTAGATTCGTTCTCTGCCATGACTCTAGCTTGTGCAATTAATTTGCATAATCTCCTGGAGCATCGTCACTGAACTATTCTCCTTCAGATAGCATTCCGGCATTACCACCAAGCTGTCCCTGCATTGTCTTAAACAATTTCTTTCTAATCAATAGAGTCCTACGGTGGTACTTCCTACACTTCCGTTCTGATGATGTCGCTCGTATGGCTTCTTGCCATACGATCATCTGAGGCGCTTCTTGTCTTGTCACTACATCACTCCCTCAATATGCATCTCGGCTTTCTCGGCAGCTGTTGTAGTCATATGGGTGGTTGTCAAAATTAGGGTCCCTTTTTGGGTCCTTAACATAGCACGGCACCTAATATTTAGGGTACCCAAATAATTCTGACAACCAGCCATATCTGCCAGTCAAGGATGGTGTTCAAGGCATTTTGCTCCCGGGTCGAGGATACGGGCCGTCATGATTTGGCTGCCATGCCAGGAGCCATACGGTTGATGACATAAATCCTGCATGACCTTAAGGACTCTAAACTGTGGGAATTATGGCATAGTCCTTATTATAGGTAATGCAGGATTTATATCATCAACCGTATTGATGGTGATATGACATTCTGCGAACACATAATATAGGGGACGCAAAATATTGATTAGGATCTGGGGGCCCATTATGCGATGTTTGTCATAAGGAACCTCCAAACCCATTATACTACATTTGTAGTAAGGAACCCTCAAAACAGTAGTAAAGGTAATTATTAAGGCCTCCATATTAGGACGCAGGGGTAAAGTCCCTCATCCCTTAAGCAAGAGCCTTAAAATCTAGCAAAAGTCATTTTGGTTATTTTAAAGTTAATGTAAATGTTTGGTCCACGCCCCAGCACAACGTTTCGAAGCCAAGCACGACAACAAGTGCAAACGCATGACCATAGCATTGTCACGAGCAGCGAAAGAACTCATCAAAATGCATGCGATGTTTGTTTGACATACACACACACACACACACCACAAGCGCAAGGTAGACAGTAAGAGCAATGTCGAAAAATAACCGGGAGTGCAGAACCGCCAGGCACTTCCTTTCGGGAGACACCCCCCTCCACCCTTGACCCACACATCTAAGTCCGACCACGCATGCATCTGCGAGATCCTTGTGGCAGCGAGAGTCACTACATGTCCCTGTGAAGTGCAGTTTGGGAGTAGCAAAGAGCACCATGCCATGTAATATAGCGGCCTCAATAGTTAGAGTCGGGTTACGAGGCATATTATACTGTAATTATATAAAGGAGCCCCCAAGACTAGTATAGGTAACTATTAAGGCCCCTACATTACCGGCCCCAGCGCTACTCCAAGACCCATACTTGGAGAGTCGGGGCACGTAGTAAGTAGGTAGTAAGTAGACTTGTAAGTACCCTAAAAGGGACCCTAATTGGGGTTATGGTACTTATAAGTCCCTAAAACAACCAGTTACTAAGTCCCCCGACCCTCCAAGTAGATCCCAAACCCCTGAAAAGCTTCGGTTCGGCTCCTGTCACTTGAGGGCTTGGAGCCTGGAGCCTTGCTCAACATAGGGGAGGGCCTTAACATTTAGAATCGGGTCCCTGTAAAGGGCTCTGCAAGGGCTACTGTAAGGGATACTAGAAGGGTACTCTAGAAACGGGCCTTCATGATTCGAACGGGGTCTTGGGGTATGTTACGCTGTAAGTACAACAAGGAATAATCTTGGCAATTATTCAGGCTTCTACATTAGATGATGGGGCTTGCTAACAAAACAAGTGATGTTCACAGTCAGGGAGCACTTGGCTGCAGCATGAAGCCTCATGCCGTCGACCATCGCTTGGGAAACATCCTCGACCTCGCTCAGTCTGAGAATTCGTAGGTTCGGAGTTACGACTTTACCTGTAGCCGAAAAGACCTACCTCTTTAAGCAACTATGTATACAAACCATAAGAAGGAACCCCAAAAAGGTGGGTCTTCTCGGCTGCAGGTAGGGGTTGAAGAATTTTGAGTTTAGGGTTTTATCTGCTCGGCTTAGGGTTTTTCGCTTAGGAACTAGGGTTCTCGAGTTACACTCGCAATACAAGACCTAGTCAAGACCTAGTATAGGGGCCTTATTATGACTAACTAGAACAGGATGTTCGGGGGGTAAGGCCTTACAGAATGATCCGTGGGAACAGGATGTTGGAGGTATACTAGAGTGTAGTTTACATAGAGAGATATAGAGAAATTGTACGGATGTCAGGGCGGCTAAGTATCCAGACCCGCCTCTTACCCGAGTGACGTCTGCGAGAGAACTTTGTAAGATCTCCTGGTACCTCCCTCTGTTCTGCCTTACCGCTCTTTCTGAGCCATTGCCGAAACTCGCCATGACGACCGAACTTGCCCTTCTCAAATCGCTTTGATACACCATTTTCTGTAATTCCACACGGTGCGTCTTGGACGCGGAACGGTTCGACTGAGGTTTACGTAGGTGACGGTCCGCAAAAACCGTAAACCATGAAGCAAAACACCACAGCCAGCGACACCGGAATCGATGGCAAGGGTACCGGGCGCCAATAGCACGACCGCATCAGCAGAGTCCAGTGACGGAAGACTCCGATGATGAGCCCTGAACCCCAAACCCTTAACCCCAGGGCTGCAATTCTGCTGGGGTTTTGGCTGAGAATCTGAAAATCCTAACATTTTTGATGCGCTGGCGGAAGTGAAGGTGACGAATCTTTCGAGTGGTACTGTTGATGATGTAAATCCTGCATTACCTTAGGGACCCTCAACTATGGGGAATTATGGTCTATTCCTTATTCTGGGTAAGCTCTGCAGGATATGTAGATCGTCAACCGTAACACCATGAGGCCAAAAGCCGAAACAGCAATCCTTTCAGCCCCGGATCCTCCCCGAACCCCAAATCATATCGGCATAGTACTACTGTCTGGTTCTTAGTGGGGTGTAGGGTTCCTTTAAGGGTTACTATAAGGGCTCTACTGTAGGGGTTTAGGGTTCATAGTAGGCTGTAGAACGGAATGGGGGAATGGGTTGAGGGGACTACTATAGGGGACCTTGTAAGGGACTATCATAGGAATCCATTCCCCCATTTATCTACTAAAAACAAGACGGAACCACATCGACATACGGTTGATGCATTACCCAAAATAAGGACTATACCACAATTCCCATGGTTTAGGGTCCTTTAGGTAATGCAGGATTTACATCCCTAAACCCGTAGCTGTTTTCAAAACTTTCTGACTGAGGCTGTCGCTGGGCTCTTGGAGAAGACCATTTTCTTGAGCTCTGCGCTGTCATTGTCGCTCTCCTCCGTTCGGCCGTAAGGCAGATCCCTCACTAATCAACTCCTCCGTTAATAAGAGTTGCAAGGCTTAGGGTTTAGGGATCCCAAGAGTAAGGCCCTTAAGCAGAGGGCGTTTATCCATCAGAGGTGTACCCTGCAGCTCAAAGACCCCTATTCGGGTTCCTAAAATGATTTGAAGTATATTCCTTAATCCCCTTATATCACCCTTACTTGTAGATCGTTTATGGAACCCTGTAAGGATCCTTTAAGGAACCCTTCAAGGTATATCTGTTAGTCAAGGGGTTTTTCGAGCCCCTGGGTACATATGTGGGAGTTTCCGAGAATAGGGGACCCTAATATAGTACCCTCAATGGTAGGTATAAGGACCCCCAGAATAAGGTACCTCTAATTTTCTGAAACTCCAAACCCTTATAAAGCCCTTTAAAGGAACCCTTATAGTACCCTTAGAGTAATCCTTTAAAGGATACCTTCAACAGTACCTCTAATTTTCGGAAACTCCCATATGAGGATAGTCGAGCTGCGGGCCGCTTTCATGTCCTATGCGCCCATGGGTAAGCCTTCTTCATGAAGGCCCTTCCGAGGCAGACATGATATGTATATATATATATATATAGAAACTATAAAGATATAGTTACAGATATAGATACAGACATAGATATACATATAGATATAAATATATAGGTGCCTTCATAATTAGAGATGTTGGTAACTACAATGCTTGAGGCAAGTTTCATCGTACATCATCTGCATAGAGATCCCACGGTAGTTGGGCACCGCTTGCTCCAGGCTTCGACACGCAGCCGCAGAGACCTTGCGCATGGTGATACAAACGGACATACTTGCAGGTTCATGAGTAGTCATACGTAGGTTCTACCTTCTAGGTAGGGTCCATTTAAGGTTAGTTATAAGCGGGGATTTAAGTAGGGCAACTAGTAAGAGCCCAAGTTAGGGGACTTCTAACCCCACTGATAACTGCCCAAGAACCTCCAAGCAGACGAGGCCTGGAATCCTTCCGGCCACAGACAGCACCCCCCCAGAAGCCGAACCGGAACTCCCAGCAGAAGAGTTTCAAGTTTAGGGTTTAAGGGTTAAGGGTATTTTGCGCACCAAGATCGTTGGCGGTTGATTGTTCGGGTTTAGGATTGGCAGAACTTTATAAACCTACGTTGCATTGAGGGAAAGCCGTGTGCCCGGAGCTGTCCTACTGAAATCAAAGTTGGTCCATGTAAGGCACCTCGTCGTTGCGCTGATCCAAAGCTATTACAAACCTTATTGCACAGTCAGACGGCCATTGGCGCAGGGCACCGCCCCCTGAACCCAACAACTAGGAGAAACTTACTTCAGGATTTAGCTTTTTGGGATGTAGGATTTACTAGTTCATGGTTGGGATAGGATTCAAATTTAAATGTTTATCCCTTATTGGGCTTAAGTACAAATAAAAATGTAAAATGTTACCCAACTATGACAAAGTTTAGGGATTAGGGTTCCTGTTTTGAAGTTCTGTAGTGTGCTTGAGGCTCACGGATCCAGTTTGAGCGCTTTGTCCTGACAGGTATCCTGATTGTGCGCATCTGAAACCACCCAGAGGCCTAAACCCATGCTGCAAGACCCGTGGAAAGCCTTATAAAATCCTTTTAAAGTTCGTTTACAGAACCTGATAGTGCTTCACAAGACCCTATAAAGCCCTTACAGGTATGTAAGTAACCTTAGCCTGAGAGGTTCAGCGATTGAGGGTGTAGGGTGTAGGATTCGGGGGTTTAGCGGGTCAGGCTTTGGGCCCAGGGTTTAGGATTTAAGATATAGATAAGTTTAGGACTGAGGCCTTAGGGTTTAGGGTTTAGGGGTTTAGGGGTTTAGGGTTTAGGGTTTAGGGCTCAAAGTTCAGGAATTTGTCTTGAGGCTTTTGGATTTGCCGCCTCTGACAGATAGGTGTAGTTGTTCACCGCGGCTTCCCTGTCCAGGTCGTAAAAGCCATTTACCCAGCAATACACATCATCCAGCGGGTAGTTCCTCGGCTTCCCAGACTCCATAAACCCCTACAATAAAGAGGGTGTAAGGGTACTAGTGGGAGATCCGAAGCTCTTGAAGAAGCTGTATCAAGCAATGGAGAACATGCGAGCAAGCTGAAAAGTAATGATACAAATATACATATATACAGGTCTACATACATACAGATATACATATACACAGATACACATATAAACAGATATACGCATGTACATCTTTACATCTGTACATAAAAACCATACATAGACTAATTCTTCAGGTCCCCACACTATAAAACCCCCATTATAGGAACCCTTTATGCAATTCTATTCTAATCACTGCTCCTTGGAACCATAATAAAAACATCAGTTTTAATAATTCCTCGGAGTTTGATTGTACTGAATGCGCATAATATTTCCTGAGAGCACTAGAGAACAAGGCCTCGATATCCCTACGGCAGACAGAGATTCTTGTCTCGGATGGCGAGACGGCGCCCGTCGGGAAGCCTGGCAAGAAAAGCAGAACCACGAGCCCGCGAGCCTTAATGCTTAAGGGTTTCGGGTTCCTGGTTTAGGGTTTAAGGATGAGGGTTCCGGGGTTAAGGCTTGTGGTTCGGAGTTTAGTGTGATTTGTGTGAGCTTGTCGGTGCCTAAAGATTTATGTTAGATTCTCTGTTTTGTTCTCAGTGCTGATGACCATCGTTGAACTTTCAGCGGAGTGGTGTTCAACGGCAGTTTCGGAGAAGATTCCGTGCAGGAGGTTGCCCAAGACCTGTTTGGAAGCGTGCCCGACTTTGAAAAGAGAATGCCTTAAGAATTGGAGCCGGCTGTGGGGGTACGCCATGGCACAATAAGGAACCCTAAGAACTACTGGTGGTAATCATGTTCGGCTATTCCCGGGGTGGGGCAGAGGCCCCGCCAAAGCAGAATAAAGAAGCTTCACCCTAAAACCCCCAAACTAAAGCCCCTAAACCCCTGAACCTCTAAGCCCTCAACAAGTAAAGCCAGTAGCTGCAAGCTGAGAACTTCCAAAACTTGCGAACATTACGAGATGCCCATAAGCTGCAATGTGACATAAGGCCTGTGACTGGCTTGAGGGTAGCGAGTTGTACTCATGTGCACAGATGGGTTTGGGACACCTGAAAGAGCAGCAGACAAGGCTGAGCATTTGTCAACTTGACCATGTGAATTATCAGGGACGGGCTGGATTTGGGGAGGCAGAAAACTCGAGCTCTACCAACTCACATCTTGACATGCCATCGCAAATAGCAATGCGCCCATGCGAGCACTGTGCAGGATCTTGTGGCAATCGATTTTTTCTATGCGCCATCACAAAAATCATTCAAGCGGCCAACCCTGTACCCTCATAAACCATCTTCAGAAGCCCCAAAGCCTAAACCTTGAGCCCTACACCCCAGGCCTCAGCGTCGTTAACTTATTGGAAACCCCCAGAATACCCCTTATAGTAATCCTTACAAACCCCTTTAAAAGGAACCCTTAAAGTAACCCGAGGGGCCTCAGCGTCGCTGACTTATTGGACATCGGTATGAAAAAGTCGTAGATCGGTTGGAAACTCGCAGCGAAGGACCGACAAGCCTCCTGGCACTGATGGGCACACGGATCGGGCTCTTAGGGTTCCGTAAGGGTTTTCGGGTTTAGGGCTTAGGGTGCTTTGTTTAAGTTGGCATAGGGTTCAGGGGTCTAGGCTTCGGGGCTTCGGGTTCGAAGTGAATTTGTGGAGGGTTTCGGTTTGGGGCTTCCGGGCTTGGTGAAGACTGCAGCTGACCGGGACAACCTAGACTTGCAAGGAGAGGGCGTGATGGACTTCTTTGACATGAGCATAGACCTCTAAATCACACTAAAATGAAACTGAAGGCACCCTCTGAAAGTGGAGCAATGGCCAAGGACCTTCTCCCGTTTAGCCGATAAGGCATGTATGATCACAGCGGTGGCTGATGCTGATAGTGACGATGATGACGAAATTTGTGATGATGACCATGATGATGACAATGATGACGATGACCGCAACAAAGCCGACGATGAAGCTTATGACGACGATGCAGCGAAGAAGGCCACAAAGTGCTCGTGCGCAAGCTCAAAATTGTTCCTGTAGGATGGTCAGGTGGTTTCGGCAAGGGTGGCCGGTCATGATCACTGAGGTACAGACGATGATGGCGGGTGTGACCATGATGAAGGTGCCGTTGATAAACACAATCACTGTTCTCTGATTTCGTCGATGCCGATGATGCTACTCTTCCTTCAGATGATCACAGTTGACGATGGCAGCAAGCTACGATGCAGATGGTGCCACCAAACTCCAAGTGCGCCTACTGCCAAAGCATGCTGCCGGAGGCCTTGCGGCGGCAGACCGCGCATTTGCTCGCCCATGTACCAAGCGCACCAAACAGGCACCAGCCGTCCTCACCTGTCATATTGAAGCCGGAACAAGAAAAGGTTCTTGCCGATTCATTTCTGAGACTGAAAGTCTCGCCCACCATAGTATACCCATAGCCGAGAAACCTACCAATTTAGGGTTCCTTATTATGGTTTCTATATATAGGTCGGTCTTTTGGGCCACAGGTACGGTTCCAACGAAGCTGGCGATTCGGCACCAGCGGCCAAGCTGGCTCAGGAGAAACACAAGAAGGGCGACAGAAGCTGCAGGATTGGTTTTCGCAGTGATGGTAGTAGTAGTAGTAGTAGTAGTAGTAGTAGTAGTAGTAGTAGTAGTAGTAGTAGTAGTAGTAGTAGTAGTAGTAGTAGTAGTAGTAGTAGTAGTAGTAGTAGTAGTAGTAGTAGTAGTAGAAGTAGTAGTAGTAGTAGTAGTAGTAGTAGTAGTAGTAGTAGTAGTAGTAGTAGTAGTAGTAGTAGTAGTAGTAGTAGTAGTAGTAGTAGTAGTAGTAGTAGTGGTAGTAGTACTCGTACTAGTACTAGTACTCGTACTAGTACTAGCAGTACGAGTACGAATACTAAGACTAGAGAAACAGCAAGCTCCAAAGGTCGCAAGCTCCGAGCCCTCCAGAAAGGAGCCCGAACCCGAAATCGTGAGCATCGCAGCCGCCATCTCCTCATCTCAGAGTTGGGGGGAATTTGGGGTTCCCTTGGGGATGTGGACCCTATCAATCAAATCACTGAAGAGAGTCAGAAGTAAGGTTAACGGTTAAGAAGGATCCCCTTGTAAGGGGTCTTCCTAATAATACCTGCAATACCTGACATCATCTCCGTTACACCTTCGACTGCACCTTCTTGGGGCTCAATGGAGCTAGCTCCGACTGCATGCGAAAGCTTGCAGGAGGGGCCCAGATGCTCCTCCCAGACCCCCGCAAGAATCTAGAAAGTAGATCCCCTAATTTGGGGCCCTGTGCTACTAAGGGTAGTTTATAGGAACCCCCATGAAAGGATCTACTTTTTGGATCCTCCCAGGTGTCTGGGCGTTCTAGTCTTGTACTCGCCCGCCACCGTCAGCGGCAGCAGCAGCAGCATCGTCACCGTCATCATCATCAACATGATCCTCGTCTTCGGCATGTCCGACCCCGCTGCTGAAACCCGGACGCCACAGAACTGCCCAGATGGCCCAGTACTCCTTAATGAAGGCATAACCTGAAACCATACATACTACGGCCCTTGTAATTGAAGGCATATAACCCTAAACCCTAAACCGTATTCCCCTAAACCCTGAACCCTAAACCCTATTCCCCTAAACCCTTGACCCTATTTCCCTAAACGCTAAACCCTATTTCCCTAAACCCAACCCTAAACCCTCCTTACTCAGGGGCGCCCCTTGGGCTCCCTGGGTCCCCGCAGGGGCGCCTGGATGCTTCTCCAGGAGCTGTGAGATGGGCGTCTCGAGCTCCTACGGTTTAGGGTCTAGGGTTTAGGGTTTAGGGGAATAGGTTTAGGGTTTAGTTAGGGTCCTAGCCACGGGTAGTGCAGCTCTGGACATCTTCGTCTGGCGATTAAGGATTTTGGTGATTTAAGGATTTTAGGGATTTAGGGTTTTGGGGTTTTGGGTGATTTTGGTGATTTCAGGATTTTGGTGATTTTTGGGGTTTGGTGGATTTAGGGGTTTGGGGGATTTAGGGCTTTAGGGAGATAGGGCTTTAGGGGTGAAAGGCTTTAGGATTTAAGGTTTCGCGTTCAGGGTCCCACCGGAACCAAAAACTCTCGGGTTGAAGGGGCCAGATGCTGATTCCCAGAGAACCCAACACCCCATAACTACGGAATATACCTTAAGCTAGAAGGGCCTTAATACTATGGATATTCCTTAACTCGCTTTTAGTACACTTATGGATCCCTTTAAGGAACCCGTTAAGGAACCCTAGGTTTAAGGTATATTCCTTGATTAAGGGTTATCGGGCTCCCTGGGTTCCAGTGGCATCCCATTCCTGCTTAGCGAGCACCCAGAGACTCCAATATCCCTTAATTAAGGAATATAACTTAAATCATATAAGGGATCCTACTATAAGTTAAGGCACATTCCTTCGTGAAGGGATATTAGAATCCCCTAAACCCTACAGATCCCTTTAACGAACCCTTTAAGGAACCCCAGGTTTAAGGCACATTCCTTAGTTAAGAGGCATTAGGCTCTCTGGGTTCTGTGGATGCGACGGCCTCGGGTCCGAGGGGACCCGGCAGGCAAACTCCATCGTCCTGGGCTTAGGGCTTTGGGTTCCTTCAGGGCCCCTTTAAAGGGATCTATAGGGATTCTATAAGGGTATAGGGTTTAGGGTTTAGGGTTTAGAGTAGGGTTTTAGGTTCAGGCGCTCTAAGGTTTAGGGCTTTAGGCTTTATGGCTCTAGGGTTTCAGGACGGCTTCTTCAAGGCTTTAATGTTTAGGAAGTTAAAGTTTGAGGCTTTAGGGTTTTGGGGGCTTTAAGCATTTTCGGGGTTTTAAGCGTTCAGGTTCAGCCCTTTGGCTTAGATGCGCGCATCGCAGGGGTTCATGAACCCTCAGCGGCTTAACTAGGGGCTGTGTATATGGTTTTTTACACGTAGCGCCTGACAAGATGTTACAGGCTCTGCTAGTTCGAAAAACATGGCTTGAAACAGGGATTTCCAACGCCGGTTCAAACATTCGGCTCGGCTATGCAAGCGTTTGGGGTTTAGGGCTTAGGGTGTTATGTCCAAACACTGCACCTTAAAGCCCACCAACGCTTCTTGAGGTCAGGACTCCGCACAAACAGAGAGCCGGCAGGCAGCCAGGGACTTGCGAAGCATGTCAGTACTGCGTGGGGTTCCGCATGCGGGTGTTCTCGCTTAAGGCTATTAGGGTCTTCTTGGAGGGTCGGGGGACCTAATAACTGGTTGTTTTAGAGACTTATAAGTACCATAACCCCAATTAGGGTCCCTTTTTGGGCACTTATAAGTCTACTTACTACCTACTTACTAAGTTCCCCGACCCTCCAAGTTTCAGGAATGACAAATGTTGGGCTCCTACAAGACGCTACAAATGACAGCGACTGCTATCAGCAAGTCTTTCGTGAATGCTGACGGACAGAGGCTTCTCTTAAAACAAACTGCGCTGCAGATGCAGCACCACTGCTGAGAAAGACGTCCACACGCACCACAGAAAAGAACCAACCACCACATGACCAACATGTTCACCATCACCGTTACTACCACATCGTGTTCATCGCCACCTTTGGGCGGCACTTTCACTGTGAACATGACCAACACCATGAGGTCATGGTCACAACCATTAGAGCACTATACATCATAACCACCGGCTGCATCGATGATTATCACAATTGTCGTCGATGTCCGCTTGCTACCATGAACACCAACGCAACCTTTGCCTCTATCAGCGCCGCCATTGTCACCATCATAATCATAAACACAATCGTGGTCGCTTGTTTCGCTGCTCATGCATTCATGCATTGGTAGTACAGCACACTACTGATATTACATGTGGCTGGCAGCCTGAATGCTACTGCCACTGCATGCCACTTTCTACTGCTCTCACTATCGCTGCCACTGTCTTGCCGCTGCTGGTACTAGTGTTGTGTGAGAGACAGTTTGACTGCAAGCATTCAGCGACTAAAGCAGTACAGCCAAGTCTCAGGGTTTACTTCCGGCGCGTGTGTTGTCGCAGGAGGCGCGGGAGTTGTTTGTCTTAAGATCTTGCTACCACCAGTCTGCAGGAGGCTCGTGCCGTAGCCGCCTTCATCCTCAGCGTCACATACAATGTTGTGTGCTTTGGGCTCGCAGTGTCGGCTTCAAAGCCCGGCCCACTGAGCCTGAAGCCTTCACCCCGTTGAAGCCCGACTTAGGTTGAGAGCGACGCTTCAATTGCACGTTGGGTTTGGCTTGGCTTTGCCCAAAGGCTGTTGACAGTCTTGACAATGGCTACTTCTCACAACTGCAACTTAGGCGAGGACCAAGCAATTTGGCGGAGCCGCAACTGTAGGAACCAGGAGCAGAAAGAGCACCCGGCATGCGGCCATCTTGCCGTAAGATTAGTGCATGACGCGAGCAGGAGCACGGCAGGGGATTACGCTCGTGCTCCGAAAGCTGCGGAAACATTCGTCTGCGTGGCTTCATGCACCTTCCAGTCTTAACACGCTTCGCGAGGTGCAGGTAACGTACCCGACGTTTAATCTGCACGGCTCTCTTTTCGCTCCACACGACGCAGGGAAGGCAGCAACCATCGCTAAGTAAATCTTTTGTGAGCCTCGCTGATGTATCGGCACACCTTGGTTCATGCAGCAGCCAAACACTCCGTGTGCGTCGCATTCTCGGGATCAGTTGCTGCTTCTGACAACTTCAGCGCCTTGACTGAAACGCACATGCTTCATGTTGACCCATTAGCCAGAAATCGCTGAAATCCAACCCTTCATTGCTGAGACCGCAGAAAACCGTTTTCTCTCCAACTTCAGGCGAGCGGAGCTGCAAACTAGGCGAGTATAGCTTGGTGGATGGGGGGGACCCCCTAGGTTACATTTCCGGCTGCTGAGACGTGGCCGAAACCCCCCCCTCGAGTTACGTATCGAACCCGCCCCCCGTGTTCCATCTTATTGGGTGTTGCCTGCTGTATGCTATAAATTAGGAGGCTTTGGCATGGATTCAGGGGGCGCACACATGCTTGAACAGGCCCAGGGCCGAAACCGCTGTTTTTTTCTTCCACCCCATAAGTACAGGTTCTGAGTTTGCTAGCAGATCACTAGCAGACTTTCGCTTGGCATTCCCTACCTGCAGATCCACGGCTGTGCAGAAGGCTCTCGCGTCACGGCCATCACCTGTCGACGGGCAGAGGCAAAGAGCACTGAAAGCACTTGGTTGGCGGAACCGATCAATGGTGTTTCAAACAGACAGAACAAACCGTGGGCTACCTGACTTTCACTCAGTCCCATTCGTCGCGCTTGAGCAATTTGTCATCAGTCCTATACACAAGAAGAGCGAGACACGCGAAGCACACAGCCTCACGCAAAATCGCAGCTGCAGGGTCTGTACAGGGTCGCTGCATACACCGTCATTGTGAGTAGGGAGACTGGCGCGACGAGGCGGAACCGATCAATGGTGTTTCAAACAGACAGAACAAACCGTGGGCTACCTGACTTTCACTCAGTCCCATTCGTCGCGCTTGAGCAATTTGTCATCAGTCCTATACACAAGAAGAGCGAGACACGCGAAGCACACAGCCTCACGCAAAATCGCAGCTGCAGGGTCTGTACAGGGTCGCTGCATGCACCGTCATTGTGAGTAGGGAGACTGGCGCGACGAGGACGATACCACGTATCTACAAATCCAGCCCCAGCGGCAAGACTTGCACAGCCTCTGACGGGTCAAAGACAGGTATCTTGCAATCATCAAATGTCAGTTTCCACACCGTCGCTGTGCTTTGATTCTCCGAGAAGTGCTTCAGCACCTTTGCCAGCATGAACCTGACGCGCTGCCCATAGTAGATCAAGCTTTGCTGATGTTCCTGCTGAGCTCGCTTTGCAGAAACTCGCCACGCATCAAGAAGCTTCGTTTGCCCCTCATCCAGGCTGCAGCAAAGAAATGCTTCCGACCCATTCACAAGGGTCTGTAAGACTCCCTCTTTGGAAATGGCATTCCCGTGCTTGGAACTCTTGATCTCCAGCAACTCCCCAGATTCGTCCACTGCATCCACCTCTGAAGTAACAAAGAAGCTTGTGTCGTCTATCCGCAGCTTCGTAGCTGCAAACTGGCAGGCAGCTGCTTCGCCACAGAGTAAGCGCTCTACTGCATGTCCTGCATCATCTCGGTTGTGAAAATGCTTGGGAACGTTCAGAACACAAACCGTGTTCCGGAATTTTTGCAAGTAGTATGTATCCCTGACTCTGTTTGAATCACCAGCGAGGGCTTTGATGAAGGACGTGCCACACACAATGTCGCACTCCGGCACACCAAACTTCCGCATGATGGCAATGCCCAGACGACCACTTCCAGGATCGCAAGGATACTTGTGAGAACCTATCAGCATATCCTTACTCTTTTGCTTGTAGTTTCTCCGCGGGAGAGGAGCCGGGAGCACCGTTGGGACCCTTGCCACTGGAGGGTTCCGCGAGCAGCAGCGCTCCATCATGTCCACCAAGTCTGGAGCGCATGTTAGGGGAACCGCTGCTCCCCGAGGTGTGTCATTCCACTCCACCACCATGCGGCCCTCGACCTTCAGCCATGCCGGATCCGCGCTCAGACGCAACGAGTCTTCATGTATCTCCTGCACTCTTGACAATCTCTGCTGCTCCACAGCTGCGGCTGCGCGAAGGTCTTCAGGCTTGAATCCGTGCGCTTCATGGAGATCCCGGTACCCCGGTACCTTCAACAAGGCCTGCACTTCCTGCAGATCCAAACTCTTGCCCTCCGACATCCGCCAGGAGACGTCGGAGCATGCATCGAGAACGGCTGTCAGGTGCTTGGAGCTTTGAAGGTGCAATAAGGCCTCGCGCATGGAGTTCATCATGGTCTTGCAAAGGGGGCACTGTGGTGGGTACGGAGTATGACTGCAATGGGTGGGCTTCTTTGTTTGAGCTCTTTTGGGAGCTCGACCATGCGTCTGAATGATCTTCTGGATCTCGTCGGCGCATGCCTGGCACTTGCTCATGGGACCTTTGACTCGCACCGGACGCGAGGGGTCATCTTTCGGGACAATGACTCGAACATGGAACTCGTCCTGCAGCCGATTGAGAGTCTCACCACCTTTGCCGATGACCAGACCTCTGTAAACTGCGGGGACTGGAACCTCAAGGTCGCTCTTAGGCACCATGGCGAAAGGGTCCTCTTGTGCCTACCTTCAGCTTGCAAGGGCCGGAAAGTGGGCCTTCAGAGGACCGGCGCAGCCGGCTCAAGAGTTAGGGTGGACGACAGTGATCAAAGAATCCGACATATCCCGCACAGATCTGAACAAGCTGCAGCACCCTGGCATCCCGCCTCTTCACAAGCTGTGCGGTGCAGCGCTCGCCAGGCCAAAGTACTGCTCGGTACTTGCTCGCAGACTCTGCGCTGTTCCGTGTTTCAATGCCTTCATGCCTGCTAAAATGGTTAACCTGTCCGACGATTGTGGTCACAAGCACTAAACCCTAAACCCTAAACCCTAAACCCTAATCCATGATTGATCAAAAAATCCAGAACTCGTTCCGGCGGCCAGGCTGTTCTGGGACGCTTATCCGCGCACCAAAGCACCAAAGCTCGCCTCTACTAACAACCTTCACATCTGGGAGTTTCCGAAAATAGGGGGTACCTTATTTTGGGGTCCTTATAATAAAGATCCTATTATTTAAGGTACTATCTTAGGGTCCCCTATTTTGGGAAACTCCCATCTGGAAGCTGAAGATCAAACACTCCAGCGCAGCACAAGCAGGGATCGGGGAGCCGGCCACAGCTGCCCTACTTGGCTTTCTGAGCACATGGTCTGCATGCTAGATGGAAGCAGAAGTGCATTTTCTGCTACGGTCACTTCGAATCGCTTGTCTGCGCACTGCTGCTAGATTGGCCTACTTGTTTGGGCAGTTATGTGGCAGATGGAGCGCTTCCGACTGATTTCGAGCACTTGTCGGTACTGGATACTAGCACTTGTGAAACCTGTCGTTCGCAGCTTTTCGAGCTGTGTTGCTGAAAGAAGCCTTGCCACTCCACGCGAGGTGATCCGTTCTGACTGTATCTCCAAGATACAGCAACTGGCAACTGGCGAAAGGCTTGAGAAGCAGCCCTTTTCCAGCCTTCGAGCAGGATGTTAGACGGCCTACAATGTGATGATCCCAAACTTCTCGGGGGACGGGGCGACATCAGCTTCGCCGCCTTTGTTCTGCACGTGCAGTTCCTGCACGCCAGTGGAAGATCCCGTGCATCCCGAAGTTCCAGGCCGGACTTTGTACCCGGGATGCGAACCGAGGAAGTAGAAAAGCAGGCCCGCAAGGGGTAAAAATGTTGCGGCCAGTGCGGCCATGGCTTCGATTTTATGGATTCCTCCAAGCCTGCGGTGTATCCTCAAATACTCGTTCTCTATACCAACCCCCGCCAGCCATAGGGCCACGATGCAGAGGAGGACGAGAATGTTGAGCAAGAAGTCACACCTGCACCTCTTCCTGAGAAGGTAGGCTACCCTTAGACAAATCAAAAGAATCGTGGGGGCTATACCGAGCCACCAAGCCAGGCCTCTCAGAAGCTCGCGGCCGACGGCATGGTGATACCTTCCCACGTAGTGCCACTGAGCTGAAGCGGCATCGATGAAAGGGAAGAACATCGGAAGCATCACGGTTATCAGCTGCCAATAGCTCAGGAACTCGTTGCACAGCTGCTGCATAAGGCGATCCAAGACGTCATGGCGGACGACCGCGTCAAAACTGTCCTCACTGCCAAACCAAGCAGATATGCAGGTGAGAAGCACCCGGCGATCGCAGACCATCGGATCCCCTCGAAAAGTCACATGGTTCATCCGGCAGCAGTGGCACGTAGTGTCCTGCACAACAAGATATTCTTAGTCTTGACTTCCTATGATTTCTTTGTCTGTCCTGCACACTGAAGTGCTCGAGAGTACTCTGCAGCGTGTCAATGGACCGGAAGTACTCCCGGAAGGATGCCACGATTGGGTAGAAACCGACTCCGAAAAGGCACCCCTGCACCAGCATCACGTCATAGATCCCATGCCCATCTGGCAAAGCACCAAAGCTGCTCACAAGCACGGCAAGAGCGAGGGAAAGCAGAAGGTAGCAAGGTCCCAAAACCGTCGGCCGAATGATGAGCTTCGGATCTTTCTTGCTGCGCAGAAAGGCGGACAGCTCGAAAATGCACCACCTAGCAATCCGTCTGATTAGCTATTAAGGTTCTGCGCTAAGAAGTGCCTTCCCTTCCTAGCAAATCCAACATTTGCAGCGCTGAGCACAGCTCTTCGAGTCTCCACTAGTTGCTTTTCATGTGTAGCCCGCAGCGTACACTCTGCACTGAGAGTCCTTCGGGGGTCCTGGATCGACCAGGCCAAACGTTTATCTTCTGCCCAGCCACAAGCGGGAGGTGTACGTGGGATCCCAGAGAACCAGCAGCGAATCGGAGCTCTTCAAGAAGGCGCCCATGTTAAAGATCCCCAAGGACTTGCGTCTCTGATCGATCTGGTCGATACAAAGCACGTCTAAGAAGATGCGCTGGCAGGGCTGCCAGAAAAGCATGGTCAGCCAGTAGATGAAGAAGCCACTGACAGAGACCCAAAAGCCTTCTCAGGGCACCCAAAGAGTCTGTGATGCGCACAGACACGTGGCAGGTCCTATGACATGATAACAGTTTGTTGGCATGCACGCACCGTGCTTCTTCTCACTCAGTGTAACAATTTCTCCACCTGCCTCGCGGTCTTGAATAGATCGCCCACGGTCTCTCCATTCCAGGAAGCAGCCCTCGCGGCAAGCACTCAAGCACATTCGCCACTTCCCTTGCAGCTGCTTTGTCATGCTACTAAGGAACATTAAGTAATTATAGTAATTCAGTAATTCACGTTGAGCCATCTTCAGGGTCAACATGTCTTTTTCGTCCGTGTCACAGCTGTCCCTGGGAAGGAAGGATTCACAGCCTGCGCCGAAGAAGATGGCCACCAGTGTTACACCCAGAAGGGAGGTGATGGCCGCTGCACGCGAGTTGTACAAAAAGAAGAGGGTCATAATCTTGGGCCACCTCACAATGGTCACCGGACACCGCACGTCCCTAGCCCGCACGTGAAAATGACGATCCTGTAAACTTCATGAATTCAACTGGGAATTGTGCAGGTGGCCCTGAGGTACATACATGCTCTGCTCGGCCTATGCAGCGGACGTCAAATCGTGAAGTTAGTCCTCTGGCGGCTTTGAGTCAGAATGCAAAAAACATCCGTTCATTACTGGGGAAAGCGAAGCCAGACAGATGCCTGTTCGACCTGGAATCTTGGCTGCTTCCATCTGAATCATCTGCTTTAAGCCTTTGCTTCCGAAGACTTGCGGCGTGCTCGTCTAGATGGTGCGACAAGTTGCTGCCTCCAAATCCCGAGACGCTGTAGCCCACAACAACTCGCTACAACACCCAAGGTACAGTTGCGATCGTCGCTTACTTCCGACATGCACGCGCGGTGCCGCAGTCCAACGCATCCCGCCGACGAATATCGACGAATAATCGATTTCCATCAATAACGTCATCGTTTCGACCACGGAGCTCTCTGCATGCGTCTTGACAGCGCGGACTCCCGAATGGGCTACAATTGGACACTGTTAATATCGCTTAATTAAGGAATATACCTTAAATTACAGTAGGATCCCTTATATGATTTAAGGAATATTCCTGAATTAAGGGATATTGGAGTTTCTGGGCAGTTAACTTGCTACTCTTCCTTGGTTCTGAGATTCTGGCCGGCTTCCATGCCAGCTATGGCTCCAGAATGCTCCAATGCTGCTGCCTCAGTGGCTTCTGGATATTCAGCCTCAAAACCTCCCGAAACAAAACGAATCGGCCCCCCTAAACCCTAAACCCTAAACTGTGCACCGCATGTCTCAACAGCATGCGAACCTGAGGCCAGGCACTGGGGTGGCTGCACTGATAAAGATCCGTCTTCTGGCTTCCGCGCAAAGCCCGTGCAAAGCCTGCCAGTGTGTGAGGGATTCCGTAAATTCCAAGTCGACACTGAAGCGTGGCACCAGTAATCATTAATCTTGACAATAGGAACACTGCCGCCAATCCCAGCCGCGCCAGCCCTGAAGAGAGCGTCTGACATCCCAAAAACCGGAAAACACACTTCCATCATTCGGAGAACCCACAGACCTCTCTCTAAACGCGGAAACCTCTCAAGCCCTAAGTCTAGGTCAAGTCCGACATCATAGCCAACAATCACAAAGACTATTCCTCCCAAGACTACACTCAAAGCCTGAACCCGAAAATCGCGTTTCACTCTAGCAATCGAGCAAGAACTACATGCTGCGAGGCCCCTCTCGAATCTTCTTGCTCCAAGCGACAGCGGAAGGCCATGCGCGCAGGTGCTGCGCGGATGATACCTGCCCGGCTTGCCTCCATGCCGATGATATGGCGCGCAAGTTCGTCCTGGGACATGATATTGATAAAAAGGCTTGCTGTTGACATGTTGAACTGTCATTGCATGAGCTCGAAACGAGGCGACTGCCAAAGGCTCAAGTGCAGCGTTTCCCGACAGCAGACCACAACAGTATGCAGAATCGTATGAATTAAACCCAACAACGTCTTGTACAACGCAAGTAAACTTCCACCACAACATGCCTTGAAGACTCTGGCAGCCAGAGCCGTCCTCCGTCTCCCGAGAAACAGGCACGGCATCAACATCTGTGTCCGCCATGGCTCTGCCGACTTCGAAAGCGGTCTCGGCTGGAGCACTACAGTTCTACTTCTGCACGCAAGAAACCCAAATTGAAATCGCTCGGGGCCTTTCGGGGCCTTCAACGCTCTGCCTCTCCTTCTCCGCATCAATTCTAAGCGGCTTTGCAACGTGTGTTTTAGCTCTTGTTGGCTCTGTGTTGATCACCTGGGATGCATCATGATGTGCGACGCACTTAACACTGTGTTCAAACCTGTTCACAGCGAAAACATATTGCGAAAAGCAAGTTTCACATTCCCTACGAAATCGAAACATCACTCCAGCTATAAAGCCAAAATGAAACAAGTTTCAAAATCGGCTAGCCTCAAGCCACTTACGTGCCGAAGGGGTCGACATCAGCAGCTGCCCAAAGCACACAAAGGGGAGGCGTAGTCTTCGGCTCAGCTGTACTCGCCAGCTTGTGTCGAAGAGTTCCAGAGCTGAGAACAGGCCTAGCCCCCGAAGGATCTAGCATAGGGAGGCTGGACGACTTGGTGTCGTCCCAGCGAGCACCGTTTGTTAAGACATACAAAAGATACCAAAAGAAGCCAGCCAGGCAGACGTCCGCAGTGTCCGGGCTCCTCGCCACCAACCTCTCAAGGAAGCGGACCTCGTCCACTGTGAGAGTGCGCGCCTGAATCACGTTCTCATGAACAAGGCGCCTGATGCGGTGCGACACCAGATCATCCATGGGTGCCCTAATGCCGAAGAGGGTGGCATGAAGACCAAGGCTTCTAGGCAGCACTGAGGTGCCGTCACCGCACGGCCCTTCATGGATTCGATGTAGGCGAAAATGCTCGTCTCACTCATACGCCCGATCCGAATGGAAGTTGAACATCCTCCACAATGCCAGAGTCCTCTTACGAAGGGTCGCAGAAGACTTCTTAGCAACAATGAACTCAATCGTCCGCTGGATCTGAGATTCCTTGTCAAGGCTCCGGCTCAGTTCATAGAGCATAGTGCCAAGCCTCGTAGCATGAAAAAAGATTCCACCATGATCCTAAAAAGGTGTAGAGATTTCCGTTTCATATCATCAGCGACCTCAGGCCAGTCCGGCATTCTTGCCTTCCTAGCAGCATAAAGAAGGACCGGCAGCTTCACGGTTTGAACCTTGTCCGCCGGCATAGCCCCATCTAGCTCCTTAAGCTCGCAAAGCAAATGCTCAGCTCGGCCCAGCTTGAAAGAGGCCCCCATCGAGGCTGCAGCAAAAGTCAAGATGCCACGGGACTCCTGCTCCCAAGCATGGTTTGGCCTCTTTCTCTGGTGTTGCTCTGCACGTAGCAACTCCATGGCGCGACGACCTTGAACCCAATTGAAAACGTAAACGGACTTTTCCAACAAACTCAGAGCCTGGTAAATAGCGGAGTTCTGCAATTCACAATGTGTTCCATGAAATTGGGCTCATGCCAAAATCACGTGTTAACACATGTAAAACTGTTCAAGCAACGTGTGTACAAAGGGCAGGGATGTAATGTTTCATCACCCCGCCTGAGATTCGTTGGTACACTACCGTGCAACTACGAAGCTCACCGAAACTAAGGTGAAACTCACTCCTCATGCCCTGTGTACCGTAAATCTTGGCACACGTAACACGGGCTCACCAGTCTCACACGGCCTGCACATCGTAAAGGGGCATTGATGTGCGTAACACGGCCTTCTCATTTCGCAAGCCTGGTCACCGTAAAGGGGCATTGGTGACCGTAAATGGCATCACATTTGCATGCTTGCGTCGCGCTGTTCATACTGCCTTCCGTGCGGCAGTTCATAGAAATCCAATTGTATCATCGCGTTCTCGTCCCTCAGCGAACGATTCTCGGACTTCAGTTCGCGAAGTGCGCGTTTGTCATCGCGCTGCTCATCCCAAAGAGCCGAACACAAAGCTCCAAGTTCTCGAACTTCAATGCGCTCTCGATTGAGCGCACACCGAGTGCGCACGAGCAAAATGCTCATTGCTATAAGTACGCACAGCAGCCCACAAAGAATCATAAAAGAAATCACATCATGGCTGCTTGCTGTCGTCGTCGATGTTGTTGTTGTAGTGGAAGGTTCCACTTCCACTTCATGCAAGAAACCGGCCGAAAATGACCCAAGGCACAAGAAAGCTAAATGAAGAACATACACAGACCCACCCGAAATGCTGCAAAAAACAAGGGAACCCATATGTAGCCCACCTGAAGTGCTGCAAAAAACAAGGGAACCCACAGGGAACCCACCCCATCTGCTGCAAAAACCAAGGGAACCCACTTACACACCCTTTGGGTAGTATAACACTATTAGAACGGTGGAAGGTCCCAGACATGCCGGAGTCAATCAAACTCAGTTGGCAGCTGAGTATTATACCACCGGCTTTGTCCTAAGGGTGAAATCATTTGCCCGCCACCTCTGGGCTCGTTCAGGTTCCCTCGTCTGTATCCTCACACCCTGCAGCATACAATCTCGAATCAAACTGCGGCGGATCAGTAGAGTCTGCCTGTCCTAGCTTTCTGCAAGCGGACAATTTCGGATCCAGATTTCCCATGCTGCGCGTTGCTCTACGTAAAAGACTACGGCGCTCAGCTTCGACCTTGCAACAGGCTCAACATTTCAGAAGCGAATGAGCATGATATGACGGGCTCACATTCGTGCATTCGGAAAAACCTGCTAGATGTCAACAAAAAGTTTTGGCTGCCCACATGGACTACAGCAAGGCTCACTTACTCATCCTAAACCCTACACCGCAACGCAACCACGTTTTGTGGCCTTCAGAAAAAGAAGGCTGGGATTACGTCAAAACAAGGCTTCGTCACTGACTAGCCGGAAAGTTTACCAGCTGCTCAGGCAACAGTTTGG